TCAGGCAAAGAGGAGATACTCACTGCGCAATTCAAAGTACAGAATCGTGTAACGTATGGACCGAACGTGCAAGGTGTAGCATTATTCATGTTACCAGCGAAAATAGGATAATATTTCATGTGAATGTAAACTAAACATTTTTCTAAAAGAGCTTTACACGAGATTTCTTGTCTGAAAGGAAAAGAAATGTGTTGGCTCCGGTAATTCGGAATACCGTTTCAGTGTTTGACTAATGATTGTTCTACTTTCGATATCGTTTGAAATTCACGACGATTACATTTATCGACATAATCTTCGTTAATTCTATACATACTCTCTTTAAAGTAACTTCAATTAATTTAATTTTAAATCGATAGCTGGTAATAGCTAATGATAGTCAAATACTCAATAATCAGATATTGCAAAGTCCATTACGAGTATATACGATTCCACGAGCTTAGACACTGATAAGTAACAAGAATAAACTGTCAACACGGATAAACTATTAACACTTGCAACAAATTATGTTACAAATACGAAAGATAAGGGTTAACACATCGAATAGAATAACTCCTGATTCCTCTTTGATGCAGATTACATCCTCAGTTGCGTATTTGGATCGGTGATCCGGCGCCTCTCGTAAAATGAACGTTCATAGGCGGCCATTCTGGGAAGTGCCAACAGTTACACGCGCCCAATGGAACCACCCTTCTCGAAGCTCCTGCTGATGTTCCCATGAAAATGAGGCAATTCCTAAAACGCGGGCGCCATCGTTTCGCGATCGCGTTCGCCGCCTGTAAACGCGATACGTGACTGACACCGTACAACTACGTGTCCTACGATCGATATGGTGCAAACAGAAATAGACCTCGGTGCACTTATTTTATCCAGCCAGGTGGATGTGGAGGCAGATGCAATAAAACCGTTTCACCCGAAACGGTGTCGCCGCAGTAGTTAAACCGTTTCACGTGCCCGACGACGTGCTCGCCAGCCGCGAGCCAAAGCAAGCCGGCTATCATTTGGATTTAGATGAGTTCCTCAATGGAATCGACTTATGCTCGACTCTTCCTTGATTGTGCGGCACACTTCGTATTTAAAGTGTTCTTCGCGCCTTTCAACCTTTTACCGTCCTTTAACCACTTGCGTTAGCGACGAATTCAAATACAATAATTTTGTACAAAGTAAAAGATTTCAAAGCAACCTAGAATTTGTAATCTAATAAGCCTACCGACGTGTATAATATGTCGTTGGCAATTTTGAGACAAAAACAATCACGTGCGTAGCACCTCTTTCTAGCGCAAGTGGCTAATGGGCAGCCCTTAGCAAAGGTGGTTTCACGTTTTCCTGCTCATTTTATGTTTTCTTGCTATGTGAAATTTTAAAGTTAGCGTTGTAAAGGCATTCCTGCAAGACGGAAGAATCGAAACGACGCTAATCGGAAAATACGCGAATAAACTGAGACTAAGGTACTGCGAAACACGGTCGGGAAAGCAAATAAATGACACAGGTGATTTAGAAGAACGGGAGACGGTCGTGGGGCGTTCGCAGCAGAAATGGCCCTTAATGAGAAAGAAGCGAAGATTTCGTGACATTTAGATGGGAATTGTCTGGTTACTGGAGGAATCTCGATCGATAAAATGGAAAGCAATGTCAAGGAGTGGAAACTTGTACCTCCATTGACGGCACTATCAATGATAAAAAGATTGTATCAAGAAATTTGGTAAATGTAGAAAATATTTAGACAAAATAACATTTTTATCTATAATGACAATAATCATTATAGATCATCTCCCAAGGCTTCAGAAATAAATAATGAATAGGGGCGGGCAATGCGGTTTTTAATCTTAAAAGCTGCCTAGTCTAAGCAACACGTCGCGTCTGCTTTAGAATTGAAATACTAGCATACCAGCTAATAAATCAGCGGTGTATTTAGTCGAACCTAATTAGCACGGTAAAGGCACGTGTATTTGATATAATAAATATGTTTTCCGAGCAAAGTTGCGCGTCAGCTACGCGTGTAGAGGGGTCGAAACTTTCCGAATTAATAGGCACCACCACGCGCGGAAAACTAAAACTTACTGGATCGAGCGGGAACGAGTAGCTCGGAATTGCGCAAACTTTGATAGAACTCATACGGCTGAATTTCTGTCGGCATAGCCTCGCGGCCATCGTTTGTTTAGGAACGCCGGAAAACGAATATTTCTGAAAGACGCTTCCGTGACACGCTCGAAGAAGCAAACCCGGCGCAAAATCACCGAAACCTTTTGAAGTGTTTCCTTGCGGTTCGGGGGGAAAACGTTCGCCGTTCACGCTGTGGATTCCGGGTAACCATGACCAAGGTTTTCCGTTTTTGAACGAAACGGAAAAATGTATGAATTGATCCTCTTAAATAAATACATGATAACGCGAACCGACGTAGGAGTAAAAAAAGGGATGTAGTTTTTGTCAAGAGCCTAATTAATTTACCTCGGATAAATTGCTTGGACTCGCCAGTCTGATTCCAAGGAGAATGTTGGTAAAGTCAAAGTAAGCGATCGATCGCTTCACACAATATGTCTCTTCCGTGAACGATTTCAACCTTTAAAAGCTGACACGGCTGAAATTCTACCTCGGGCAAATTTAGTTTTCGTTCGTTAATGAAATTCGTCACTCATTAATTAAAGAATTTTCGAATTTACGGAAGCATAGAGCTCGGAATTATACAGCTCAATTACAGTTCATTACAAACGAAAACCCTACGATCGGTGCCAACAAATTTCAAGAGCATACTCACGAGGAACAAAATACACGTGGCCGATGAAAAATGTTTCGTTGCCGGTACCAATCGCGAGCGGAATTTTATTTACACCATCTGGACGCGTGTTTTCCACATATCAGCCAATAAAATGTAATTATTCTTTCCATATCGAATATCCCGTCCTTTTAATCCCGAGCTCGAATGAAAAATGTTCCGCCTTTAATCACGAATCAATTACTTTGTGTGTAATGGACGTACCTGTGTACACGTGTTCCCGTCGGTCTCGTTCTCGAATTCCATTAATATTTGCCGGAAATTTTTCGCTCTTTCACCCCGCTAAATGAAATTTTTAATTATGGTCGGCAGCTGAATCGCAGAAATTACCCGGCCTGTGTTTAATACTGACCGCAGTTCGCGAAATTCTACGCGTGACTATAGATTGACCGCTTTAAACGTTCGCCGAATATTTACGGTCTTGACCCACTTGCGACCCGGGTAAGTCTTTCCCTCAACCATAGAAATTTGAACTACAGAGCGGCTCGGACAACGGAAATTAACACAATTGGGGCAAGGCTTTCGCGAGAGCGCGTGCTAAGAACAGGGTCAACGGCCAAGCAACCCCTTTGTTTACAAACATCTTTAAAAAAAGAAAGAAGAAAGGGACGAGCCGACGTGAGCATAATTACACGGCCGCGGGTTTATCCTTTTTACGCATCCTCTTCGCGGAACCGTCGAAAAGGGGCGTACGGATCGCAACGGAGAACTCTAGCGCCTCACCACCCTTCTGGGGCTGCTCGACGAGACCGCTTCAATTATTTAACTCTTTCTATTTCCGTTCCATGTCAATAACATCCTCGCGGAAAGTCAACAGTATCCACCGCGGTAACTGTCATCGATTTCGAGATGAACATTCAACTTCGAACACGTGAAAATGTTTCGTTTCCATTTGGAATCAACCCTTTGTGCTTAGTGTTCTCCTTTCTAGCATCTGTGGTCATTGGTTTTCGGATAAGCCGATTTGCGCAATGGATATAATTTCTAAAAGTCAACAACTGAATACTATGAGAGTCTGATATTTAAATGTATGTGAATATTATAAATATTGTTTTTTGATATGATACTTCTAATTGTTTGTTTTTGAAATGTGAAAAAAAGTGAACACCACAAATGCATACTGAAAGAATTTAAAATGATGTAGAACTACGTTACTGATCTCGAATGTGTTAAACAGATTAGTACTTTCTTGATTTTATTACAGTGGGGGACATTGATTGTGAAACACTGTTATATATTCACATAATAAGATTGAACATTTGTTATAACAATGTCCAAGTGTGTACACTTCTAAACACTGTACGAATTATGAACTTCAAAATATGGTTACTATTATATTCAATTAATGTCTGGTTTTTAAAAGTTTCTTGATTGAATTTATTATATAGAATCGATGCAATATTTCTTGGAGAAGGTTCTTCACTGAACATCTGATTTTTGGAGACGATTTATTCGACCTCGTATACGTAGAATTTGAATTTTCAAATAAGCTAACGCAGACACAGATGTCGTATAAAAACTTCTGCAAGCACCATCTGCTTGACCAACGATTTGTAGTATTAAAGTATTTCAATAAATGCAACGTGTACATTTTATACAACGATATGAATTTCAAATTTTGAAATATGTCACAGAAAAAAACGCATTGATTTCTTGAGGGTGTTATTGCTTTAAGTAACAACACGTACGAAATTCATTTAATCTTCTTTCAAAAAATCCGAATTCACGATCATCACCAATACGCTACGCTGCCAATGAATGTGCTAACGCTGACCACCACGTCAATCAAACACGAATGACACCATTCTTCAACCAGCCGTCAAAGTCCATTTTCCCGGTAAAATATTCAATGAACAAACTCAAAAAAATCTCAAAAATATAAGAACACTAATCTCCCTATAAAAAAACCAAAATTCGCAATTTCCGTGTCACCAAACGAATTCTTTTCATCCCACAAAACGTCTATCTTCGATTCCTCGGTTGAAATCATTCGACGTTACAAAAATCAACCCCCACAAACAATAACTCGTTTATCCTCCAACACTCGCGAAACAAACCATTCTCCATTCCAAAACACGGATCCATGTTCATAAGATTCGATCGACAATGTTCCCTGCTTTCTCCTGATTAGTACAGTAGCCATTTTAGATTCGCAGTTCCCCGGAAGTCGGCGGCCCGGGTGCATAAAGAAACGGGGAATAAGAAAGTGGATGATTTCGAGTCGACTTACCACCGCAGTGTCCACAATCGAATACGATCGCGAGGTTTCCCGCCTTTCCGTCGGTATCATGTGTGAAGAGGGTGGTCGCGTTTATGCGATCGACTGCGAACGATCCACGCGTCCTCCTGCTTGCTACCCTTATGCGTGTCTGGAACCGGAGCCGGTGGTCGAGATGCGACCAGGACGAAGTCGCGACACGATCTGCGGACGATTCGATTTCGATCAGCGATTATAAACGGTGGCTGGCTGTTGTGACCGTGACTAGATTTCCGAGTGCTCTGTCTCGCTCGTGGCGCGAGCGGTCGGAGCTGCGGCTCGAGGCTGACTGAACGCGCCCCCGCCGTTCGGGACTGAGGATGCCGTGTCGCGCAGACTGGAGACGCTCTCTCTCACTGATACGCCCGTGATTGTGGCCTTGATCGACATTAGGCGTGATTCGCCGACGATCACCGGGAAACCTTGTCAAGCGTACCAGCAACTGTCCCTGGAACCCCCCTTTCACATTTTCCAGGTTCGGGCCCCACTTCCAGTTAATATTCCTGCGAATTGCTGTCCAAGGTTCCCGAGTGGGGAACGTTTATCCTGCCGGGAAAATGTTTCACAGAAGCTCCCAATGAAATAAATAGAAAATCTCAATCCCGAGCTTGCAACTCCGAAGGTTGTGGGATGTTAGCGCTTTTTAGATTGAATTTGGTTTCGATTAATTCTCCGGCTAGGGATGTTGGATTGGATTTGTTTTCGGAGTTGTTTTATTATTTGCGAATACTCACTGTGGAATAACTGTAATGTATTATAATATAATAGAATGAATGTTAAATAGAGAACTGGATTATTTGCTTTTTCGATAGGTACATTTTAGTAGAATAAATTGGTTTGGGTAGACAATTATGATTGAAATTAAACGGATTCCTGTGAACGTACAGTAAATTTCCTCCTACGTATTAAGTAAAGTAAATAAATGATGGTTACGTGAGAAAAGCGTTTTAATTGATTTAAAGGCGAACGGTCGGTAGGGGAGGTAATTTTCTACGCGACGTGATTTTTGCTCGAGACACCGCGGCGTATCCGAACCAAGCGCACGGTGAAATCGTATCGGAGAGAGGTCAATTCGTTTTCTTTTATTTGTCCTTTCCGCGATGTGCATGCACAACCCATGCATACACAACCCTGTACACTTGCATATTTTTTCCCCCTGTGGATACCGGTTTTCAGGTTCAGTTCGAACTCACCGAAATGAAAAATAAAACGTTTCAGCATATTTAATTGCCCCTCCAGCGACGTAATCATATTTTCAGCGTTACATGAATATTTTTTATTCCTAACGAACTCCTCGCGGGAGTTCGGCGCGTCGAATTCCTTTCAGCTTCAACCGGAATCGTGATTAAATTTTTCGGTAGAAAATATTTTGGGAAAAAGTTTCGCGAGGAGGAATTAAACACAACACGAGCTTTTGCAGGAATACTGTGCGTAAACAACTATTTTTAGACAGAATGAATTTTTCGACGAATAATTACGGAAATCCTCGGTAATACATTCGTTAGCCGAAGTTGCTCGATTTCAACTTAAAAACGTGCTTCAAGCTAAAGTTACGTAGCATCGAAAGGATCATATAAGGTAAGGATTGATTTATTACATAGGCTGACAAGAACTTATACACACGGACGATGGAAATAGGCTAATAAAGAAACTATTTTTAAATAACCTGTTCAGACATTTCGGTAGCTGCACCGTTCGGCCGGTCCGATCGATTCACGGGTCTGTGTAATACGGGAGAAAATTACCGTGAAGTTGAACGTGCACGATAAGGGAAGTTGGCGGACCTCCGTTACGATCGTTAAATTCATGCCCGGAATGGTGTAAATCTTCCTTGAAAATACCGCCGTTACACTTTTATTGGCGGACACGTCGCGTCTCGGTATAATTAGACCCGAAGTTATTTTTTCCCCGGATGTACCATTATACCCCGACGCAACGAAACGATTGAAACGACCGAGGTTGAGCTGCGGTCAAGCTCTAAACAATGTGATAATTATGTTCCCCCTTTTTGTGATAATTTTGTGAGCACGAGCTTTCATGACGGTCCACTTGGGGTCATGCCAAATTCATTGCGACGACTTCCGCTGCGAACGAGACACTCAAAAATTCTTCGACCGACCGCGTTCCAAAGCTCGCGCAACCTTTGTGCCGACCCTGCGACCCGACCCTCGAGATATAAAGCTATTTTATTTTCTTCCCGGCTGAATCTCGCCGGCTGAATCCACTTTGACGGCGCTACAGAGCATTTTTTACGCGCGCAGCCACACGTTCCCCTGCAGTTCCGTGTCTAAGTGGAGTCCCAGCGTTAAAGAAACTTCCTTACATTACGGTTCCGGAGGAAACTGCATGAGGACCCTGAAATTTTTAGATTTTTGGACTTATTAAGCGAGAGGTACGCTCACGCTTGGAGATTCGTGATTTTTTCATTGGGCACGTTGCAAATGTGAAGTTAACGTATGCGGCTAACTTTTATAACATTTCCTTTTTACCAAGATAGTAATACAGTTTTTTTTAGAACGCGTTTATATAGAGTTAATCCTCGTAAGTGGAACATCTTGTGCAAAAAGATATCCTTAACTCAAAACGTTCCCTTGACTACTGTAGTTTCATGGAGTGTGACCTTGAAATTATATTCTTTTTCAAAGATTTTTTTCCTATATTGATACAACAGTTTTCTACATAAATGATACTAAATTCTGAATATTGTCCTTATTCTTTTATGGACCTGTTCAGATAACAGACATACTGACGTCCAAATTTCATACATTTTATAAAATGTATAATTTTATATAAAATTGACATTCGTCTTAACATAATCAAACATTGCGTTATCGTATTAATCCTGTGTAATTGCGAGATTATTAAACCGTCGCTTAATCGGTGATCCTTCCGTCTTGTGACATTTTCCATGTAAACACAAGTTCAAAATAAATTTGGAAAACCGTATTTCTCCTTTTTATAATTTCGAACTTTTAATTTGACAAATGTTCAAAGGTATATCGGTATAATCATCTGTTCTCAATAGCTGATACCTCGCCGGCGTACGATGCGTTAACATCCGTCGTTTGAACGTTTGTATGATTTCGGCTATTAGCAGACGCAATACGTCGCAGCCTGTGTGCGAGTTTACGTGTCGCATTAAAAAATGCTCAAGGAAAGCGGGGGAATATTTGTACCCGTGACATTGCATAAATACGCCATATATTCCGACAACATCGGGATTCCTATCATTGAAAATTGCGATGAGAAACGCATAGTGTTTGCACGTAGCGTTGCGGACAATCGCGGACCAACATTGAATATTTAAATTCGTTTTCCCCGGCGCAGCCTCAGAGAATATAAATATGCATCGTGCGCTATTCGAAATCCATTTTAATTGAATCGATTAGACGGTCGTGCTCGGTCTCTGCCCGTGACCTTGCGGAAAGATTGTTACCGTTCTCGACGACGATCGGCGAGACTACTTTACGCGAAAGCGCGTGCTGAGACGAATTTATAGTTGTCCCCGACGACGCGGCGCACAATGATAAAGGATTTCGATAGGGAAACATCGTTCGCAACTTGCCCCAACCCCACTGCAATGATAAAGTCTATTGCTTTCATATTTTTCTTCTCAGAAACGGTAAACCTACCGGTCGTGTTGGAACGAGATTCAATTATTCGTACCTGCAGCCTCCATTTTCTGGGTAATAGTTCTTGTATCGTGTGCTAGGTTAATTAACATACAATCACCGATAGAGACGCGTATATTGTTTGCATTTAATTAATTCAAAGAGACCAAACGAAACCAACGACGGTACTCTATATCGAAATAATTATGCATCGTTTGCGTAGGCATCGAAATATTTTTGTGTAGGTGTGCAGTGGAAATTAATGAAGTAAGATGGATTTTATTAAAAAATGTTTCGTTGTATCGTAAATATTGAGTAGTAGAGTAGTGAAAGGTGCAACTGATCACTGCCGGTCTCTAAGCTGAAGTATGTGATGGGACTGACTAACCTTTCATGTAATTAGATGAAGTGACCTGTGGGAAATATTTCGTGGGAACATGTAATTGCGTTACGTTATCGATATCCGGTTTTCGATAAGGTTACAAGCCGGGGAAGATATGAACGGTCGATGGTGCCTCTAAACGGATACCTTTTATCAGACGGATGCCTTGTTTTATCAGAAAGAAATTGGACGGGAAGGGGGGATTAATCGAAGATGCAATTTTCTGATTTTCCAGTCGAAGTAACTTGAACTCCTAGTCTCCAACCGGAACGGTAAAGGAAGTAGGTAAGTTTTGTATTAAATTTCTTGCATCATTATAATTCTGAATAACCTCTCGCAACGTACGAAATTAAATATTTCATTACACGGGATTGAAATCATATATATCATTAAAGAAAAACGATAGTACATATTAAATATTATCCTGGATACAAGCATTTTATCTTTATGCTCTATCGAAGTGTACATGAATCGTTTATCACGGTGATGCATGTGTGCAGTATCCACATCTTTCATTGATTAAATGTATCACATAATTCTGCATTATTTTAAAGTGGTTCAAGTAGAAATCGTTCTAAAATACTTCACTGAAATTGATAAAATTGTAATTATGAGATGATAAGTACGTATAATATCAAATACATGATACAAATGTTCCTTACCTTCGAACGTATTTTGGAAAATACGAAAATGTTTAATGTAGGATTAATATGCGTGACGCATGAGTAGCGTTAGAAATTTATATTCGAAGGGAAAGTGAAATACATCTTATACAATCAATGTCTAGATCAATTTCAATTATTGGACTTCAGAATATTCCGAATTCTGTAGTTCATTCAAACTTGGACCGTCTGCTAACAATGGTTCATTGCTAATCGAACTATTGCAATCGAATCCCACGAAACCGCTTGGCTTGTAGCGAAGGTTCACCATTTGCGAAAACTGCGTCTGAGCAATTTGACATAGTTCGGCTTGTTCGACCGGGGACACAGCTAAATCGTTATTTCCTGTTAATAGTTTCACGATTTGATAACCGATATAGACGTATGATGCCACCAGGCACGACAATTTTGTGCTGCTTCGTTTGCACGTTTCTAGCAAGAGTAAACCGTGGACCCACAGTTTCAAGAGTCGTTAGAATTTAATTTGTTAATTCATCTGTATGATAATGTACAGTGTTTTTGTATTTATTTCGTATTTTTTGTGAGCAAGATAGGTTGGCCAATTTTTCATGATATTAAGATACTATGGCGAAGAAATAAATTATTTAATCATCAGTTCAA